TTCTTCTAATTGAACTTTGGAAGGATTTTTTTTCAATCCCCTTCATCCACAATAACCCTTCACAAGTCTTTAAGAGTAAATTTTGTGCATGATTGAATGTTTCTCTCCAAAGATAAAGCATCATCTCCACTTGATCAGGTGTACTTGAGGAGACAGCACTGCTTTTATTGGCTCTCTACCAGATCCATACCACAACCTCACTTCCAATGTTCCACCTAAGAAACTGAATTTTCTACTGAGTGTCTTATTCCACAATTGGGGCTCTGAAGATTATGGGATCTGCTATGATCAAACCAGTTCATCATGGCTCAGTGCTAGTTCTTTGCAGACATGGTCAGAATTAGACAGCGTATGTTTGTTACCTTAACTGAATTTAGTTTGGCTTAATTTTATAATCATATATTGTGCACCAACTATGTGCCAACCAAGGTGTCAATTTCTGTGAGGAGGCAAAGATAAACAGGTCAAGGGCCCTATTATCACAGATCTTTCATTCTATCATGGTAGCAATCATAAACCAAAAGCGAAATGTTCCAAGGACACAGAGAGGCTGCCTGGACCCAGAGGAAAGAGGAATGTTCAGGTAAGAAAAAGAGCAACACTGTAAAGACCAGCTTTAATGTTCTGTATAAAAATATTGATGTAAGGTTAAGGTTTTGTATATTGGTTTTGAACAAACCCTGAGGCCTAGGAATTGGCTGAACTTGGTGCTTGTGATGAACTTGCTTCACTGCTCTTCAACTGTAAGGTTTAGAGGACCCAGAGCTTGTGATTTTGCTTTGCAACCATATTTCTCATACTACATGTTTAGGTGGTAATTCCTTGAGCTAAGAATAGAAACTGCCAACGAAATTTAATGGAGAAATGAATGCAGGAGTGAATGGTGGGGTAACTATCCATTCAACATTTTATTGTTAATTATAAACTTGCTGCAGAATTTCAGTTCCTAAGGAAGCTTAAATTTTGTTCTAATTAAAAGAGACAAGTGGTGTGTATCAGAAGCAGCTGCTCCAGAGAGAACTTTTGCTAACAGTCATTTTCAAATTATGCACAGGAAAATGAATTCAGTTTTGTTTCTTTCCATTTCAACCTTGATAGTGTGTTTGAAATGTCTTCATATAGAATGTAAAGGAAAATTGGTTAATATTTCAAAATTTATTGTGCCTATTCACTTCATTTTCTCAATCCTGTGCAAAGCTATTCAAGATAATTCAGCTTTTTAAAAAAAAAATCATGCTTTTAAAATATAGGGATAGAAGGAAAACAAAAGAAAAAACAGAGAAAATGGAAGGAAGGAAATTGAAAAGGATAGAAAACATGAATGAAAAATTCAGACAAAACTTACAAAGAAAAGACTATTGGAAATACATTGTGGAGAGAAAAATACAAATATCTTCTCTGATTCTGCACTATACAACACATACTGGACTAACAGTGAACTGTATGCTAATATTTAGGGAAAAGATAATAAATGGTTTGCATTTGGAGATAGATTGCTCCTGGATTGCTTTTGATTTTCAGCATCCTACTGACAGAAAGACCATGAACAAAAATTTTTTTAAGCCTTAGATTCCCCATCTGTAAAACAGGCTTCATAATAATAATCTACCATAGGTGACATCAGAGAGAGGAAAATAAGAACCACAATGTTGTTCCATATTACAAAAATCAGATAAGCAAAAATGTTAAAAATCTAATATTAACAAGGGTTATTGAGGAAACCAGCGAATAAAATTCTCACACCCAGTTGATGGAACAATAAAACAGAAAGAAAGTTAATGATAGAACAAGTTAAAAATGCCACAAATTGGACTCAGTTATACTTCTCCTAAGGATATCCCCTAGAGAAGCTTGCATATGTGCACAGAGATGCACACAAGAATGTTTACAGCTATATTCTTTGCAATGGCCAAAAATGGAAAAATTGAAATATTTTTCCACAGAAAAATTGATCAATCTCAGTGAAAAGGAATGAATCTGAGTAAGATATATCAATCAGTGACTTTCCTACACAAATGAAGTTCTAAAAATAAAGCAACCAGTTTCAGGTTTCAGAGTATCAATGCAGCATCACAGTGGAACTGGAAGAGGGCTGGACTTTACCCAGAGAGCCTGAACTAGGAGCTGGATACAATAACTAATGTGTACTTGGTAGTACAACAGATGGGTTTCTTTATATTAGGATGAGACATTTAAAAGCCTTAAATGCATGAAAATCAGTGTGTGATATTGAGGGAGAAAAAGTAAGCCTCAAAGGGTGGAACATACATAATATCTGTCCTTTTTGCCTGTCAAGCATCCCTATCCTTTAATTTGTTTAATTATAATTTTTGTTTCTGTCAATCATGATCCCCCTTAAATCTTCATCCCTGGCCAGTGGTTAGGCATAGAGTCAAACCTAGGTAAATCAGACATCCTCTGTCTCCTGGGAATTTAAATCTCAGATAGAAGTACAAAAAGATGGTTAGTGATGCCAGTGTCTAACATAAATCTGATAGCAGACTGATAACACTGAATCTCCTCCTTCATGAAAGAGATAGAAATTGAAAAATATAGGTAGCTGACACTTATTCTGGATCTAGATTTTCAGCCTTTTCCTGTGATATGGCTGCCAGAAGTCCTCCATGAACTCACTGAAAGGCTGATTCACCATTATGGCATCACGTAGCCTATTGCTTCTGGTCAAGGAGCTCTATTTGCAAAGGGGAAGAGGCAATGGGATCACGATTTTATATAACACATTGATGGTGGTTAATTTCACATTATATAACATAAATTACAGAATACCCATGAGAGGTTTGCCAAGCTAAATGGAGCTGGATTTGAAAATGTATCAGCAACTGATGAAACTTAACCTGTCTACATTTGGGAAAGGACACATACACTTTCAAGTACATGAAGAAAGGGTTGCATTATATAAAAAGGGATGTTTTGTGTGGGTTTTGTTGTTCTTGTTTGCTTGTTTGCTTTTCTTTCCTTCTTTCTTTCAGAAATTAAATATGTGAAATAAGGTGTGCTTTGATGATGGGCAGCCAATAGAGTGGACTGTAGTGGGGAGGGGGTTGTCAGCATTTTTAGCTGCCTAACATTCTGTATCCCTTTCCTGATGAGTCTTAGCAGAAGGCACATGACCTAGGGTGCCGCAGTCCGGCTGCAGCAAAATAACGGGGGTGGGGGGGGGGGGTGACAAGCAACTTGTGTAGATTGATACAGCTGGAGTGGGAGCCATTTACTGTAGGACAACAGAGGTATTTATACATTCCACATAGCTTATCTAATTAACATAAACTCGCTACAGCAGTCAACCAATAAGGAATCTCCACACTTAATGGCTCTGGCGTTACTTCACAAACCACTCCCTCTGGCAAAATGCCAGGCGCCGTCCAGACTTGTTTACAGACTCTAAAATTTCTCTGGCAAAATGCCAGGTGCCATCCTGACTTGTTTACAGACTCTAACACTAGGGTATTTGACATGGGGGAGAATAATCGGGTACAGAAAGTATTCACTGTGTCACTAGGAATGCAAAAAAATTGGAGCCGTGGAAAAGCTTCTCTGGTGTTTGTCTCAACCACATGTTCTAATATCCAGGGACAGCAAAAGTTAGAAAGAAACACTTCTTAATTCTGTTATGGATCCTATTGTGAGGCCTTCAACTAATCTTGCCTAGGATTAATATATGTTACTTGCTAAAACTAGGCAGTAACTATATCTGATTTAAAAACAACAACAAAAAAAACTTGGCTGAAGAATAGTAATTGAGCAACATAGGACTCATTTCCCCATAAGTTAAGTCACGCTTTTTATGCCATGCTTGACCACGCAGGAGGCCTTAGGCATTATCTTGTAAACTGGGCCCAGGATTTAAGCTATACAGCGCCCTTGCAGTCCTCCTGGCATAAATGTTGCTGCAGCTTAGTTCCTAACAAAGTTACACAATCTTTATTAGTTCTATATTGATGTTTGTAATCTGTTCCTTGGAACTTTCTTAGGGAAACTGTTCAAAGGAGCTCTGTGGCTCCTTTAGCACCACAGTCTCTTTGGAGGAGTCAGTGAAGAAAGGAAAAGTACCAGGATGGAATCAAATATCCATCATTTGCCTTAAGAAAAAAATATTTTTTCCCACCCCACACAAATCCCCTGCTAAGATTTGGGCATAGCTTCAGCATGAGGGTGAGAGGCAACTACTGTGCACATTACGGTGTAATAAAAGACAAAAAAAAAAAAATTTACATTTGACTCAGCCATTTTGATCTTATGCTTCCAAAGAGCTGCATTAAAACAGCATCATCAAAAGTCCCCTGCCTCAAAAAAAAAAAACCCAAACAAAACCCTTGATCAAAATGGCTGCTTCTCCCCACCCCCACGCCCCATGTCCTCATTCATGCCACTGTTATGGCAGGAATGCTGTGGATTGCATTTCTCTGAAAAGCAGCTCCTTACTCTGCCCTCTCCCTTGAGGTGGCCCCCTCACAAGCAGTGTGTTAACCATGCTCCAAGGACAGTAGTGTCAGGGACATTAGCCTTTCTTTAAACACTCCTTGACTGGGTTGTCATCTGCAGATAGAGATGCCTTCGCAGTCTAGTACCCCACAATAGGGATGTAACTACAGCCACTTGTTGAAAACCAGAGATATAGTTGAGTGGGAACCGTTCTCCTATTGTAACTCCTTCCTCCCTCCACACAAGGGAGAAGACCTCACAGATCAGCCTCACAGATGAGCCTGGTGGGGTGGGGTTTTGGAAGAGTGACTCAGTCCTAATCTACCACCACCATCACCACCACCCCATCCCTCCTCTTCCCATAGCCCTCTTCCTTTAACCCTGTCTACCTCCAGGGTCTCTGCAATATACAGTCACAACCCAGCTTCTCCCCTAGTATCTACCACAAGTCCCCAGAAGAATAGGCAAGTCTCAGTCACCACCGTTTCCCTCAAAGTCTTGCAGCCTCCATAAGCCCAAGTGTGTCATGCCAGAGTGTTTCTGTTGGTTCCACTTACCTCACTGTGCAGAAGGCAAAGGCAGATTTTGCTGGTTCTGGGCTGGGAGAGAGCACTGAGAGGCAGAAGGCATCTTCTACTCCAGGTTCTAGCTCATTTGCTCTTCAAAGATCCAAACTATTAAACATATTTTATAACCACAGAATTAATTTTTACCCTCAAATGCACATGATAAATTTATGGCATAATTTTGATCTTATTTCACATAAATAAATATCACAATCTTATTATGAAGAGAATATTGGATCCTTCTTGTCCTGTTATATGACAATTCATCCTACATTAGTTTACCATAAATTGTGCCATGCTTAAATTCTAATGACTTGATTTCCCCTAAATACGGGGGCAGGAGAGAAGTTTAATTTGTTCCACTGCACGTGTTATAACAGTCTGACTGGGCATGACTTTTTGTCAAACCATTATAAATTTCGAATTTGTAACATAGTATAAGATCTTACTCAAAAACTTTCATGTGACCTTAGTGTTCTCAATTTTATAATGATTATCATTTAAGAAATCACCTGAATGTTTTGCCATGTCATCTTCAGTATTTTCATGTTTTCCACATCAGGTGTTCTCTGCCATTTAATATGACATCCTAAATGTCCTGTCTTTCAATATTTAAATAAATCTATACAACTTGAATATGGCAATTTTAGTATTGTAACCTTTTGCCCATCGATGATTGTCAGCCCTGAACGGCCAGGAAACTGGCCAGCAGCTTCTGACAATCCAATCCCATCATTGTATTTTTCACAAGACAATAGCATTGCCTTGATCAAGAGATGTATAGTCAAGACAATATAGAAAAAAATAGAAAGACTAAAATGTCTAGAGCATATTCAGTGCATTTTTCTGGCAATAGAGAGCTGTTACTATATATGTTCCTCAGCTATTTGCAAAGCTCCCCTATAACCTGACTACATTATATAGTTCTGCATATAAAAAGTAGCGGTTTGATGGTGTTCTAAGATTTCAACACAGAGAAAGTCTTCATAATGGGAGTTTTCAGATAGCAATATAAGTATCAAACCCTCACCATTTTTTATTATAGTTGTGAAATATATAGTTGTAAATCCAATGATGCCAATTAGAAGCACACTTGTATAAGTAAAAGCTCAGTCCTGAATAAAGCAGGAGCAACTTCCTAAGGCTTAGGTTTGGGATTTTCAGACTAGCTGGAAAAGTGTATGAGTCTTCATAGACTTCTATTTGATTGCTTCAAAAATAGACTAAACCTATAATCCACACCCCCCCACACACACACACAGACACACACAAATGGTGGACACAAAACCCTTTTACTTGTCCCCTAAAATACCATTTTACATACATGCAATATTCAGTTTGTTTACCAAGTAGAAAATCCCTGCCAGTTGTTTATAGACTACAACTCTAACTAAACTAAAATATGTTTTGTTAGATAACAGATGTTTCAAAAATAAACTTTAATATTAAAATGATTTTAGATTTACAGAAAATTCAAGAAGATCATACCAGGAGTTCCCATATAGGTATTATTTCCCATATTATTAATATGTTATATTGATATGATACATTTGTTGCAAGTAATGAACAAATGTTGTTATATTATTATTAACTAAAGTATCATTTTTTCAAATTCCCTTAGTTTTCACTAATTGTCCTTTTTCTATTCCAGGGTCCTTTCTAGGATGCTGTATTTAGTGTTCATGTATCTTTAGGCCCTCTTGGCTGTGACTTTCTCAAACTCTCCTTGTTTCTGATGTCCTCTACAGTTTTGAGGAGTACTTATCAGGTCCATTGTAGGACTGTTCATTATCTGTTTGATATTTTTCTCAGGAGCAGGCTTTTGGGGAGAAGTGTCACAGAGGTAAAGTGCCATTCTCATCATGACATGACAAGGGTCCATAGATGTTGACCTTCATCATCTGGCTGAAGTAGCTTTTGTCAGGTTTCTCCACTACAAAGTTATTCTTTGTCCCCACCCCTTTCGACACTGTACTTTGAAGAGAAGTCACTGTACATGATCCACACTTCGATGTGGGGTGTAATGTTCCCTATCCTTTACAGCAAAGTACCTACATAAATTATTTAAAATTCTGCACAGAAGACACTTAACTGTTCAATTCCTATGTACAAGTATAGCAGTATCGAATGGTTAACCAGTACTCTCGTGAGACAGCTTTATCAACTAGAGTGCAGGGCTTATATATACTCCCTTTGCTTTCGGCTTATAGCTGCCTCTCATTTCCAAAGTTACTTAGAACTGTACTTTTTTCCTCTCCCAAATTGAGCGAAGTTATTTCAAACATTTATAATCCATTTAGATGCTCTTATCACTTTCTCTTGTTCTCATTCTGTGCTGGCATCCCCTGAATCTCCTAAATGATTTTTCTTCAATTTACATACATTAAGTTTTACTTCTTATTCTGTAAAGTTATATGGGTCTCAACAAATGCATAATGTTCACAATTTGATTACCATATAAAATAATTTTCCATCCTCACATCTCTTGCACATATTCATTCCTTCCCTGTCCCTTTGAATCCATGGAAACTACCCATCTTTTAACCATTTTATTTGTGTAGCTTTGCCTTTCCAGCATGTCAAAAGTTGGAATCATACAGCATGTAGACTTTTCAGAATTACTTCTTTCACTTGGCAATACACATTTAAGTTTTCCTCATGTCTATGTGTGGCTCAGTAATTCATTTTCTTTCAGCATGGAATAATTTTCCATTGTATAAAGATATTAATTTATTTATCCATTCACCTGTTGTTTTGCCTAGTTTTATGGAGATTATAAATAAAAATGTGTTAAGTATGCAGACAAAGGTTTTGTATGGATGTTTCCTACTCATTCGGGCAAATACCTAGGAGCATTAGTGCCAGATCATATGGTAAGACTATGTTCATCTTTGTAAGAAGCTGCTAAAATGTCTTCCAAAATAACTAAACCAGGGGCTGAGGATATAGCTCAGTTGGTAGAGTGCTTGCCTCCCTCCCAAAGTAGCTAACCCATTTTGCTTTCTTACCAGCAATGAATGAGAGTTCCAATAATATTTTGTTTAAATTTTGAGAACAAGCAAGCCTTCAATTACACAGAATCTCATTGCTACATAACAGCTCTGTCATGGGGATTCAGTTTCTATGGCTCATGCCTTCTTGGAAATGAATAATGAACTTCAGCAACTGTTTAGAAGTGGCACTTATGTTTAGGAGAATATAAAAGTGTAATCCTTTTCCTCTCTTTAATAGCTAGCACACACTGGCCATAGCAGTATCTATTGACCAGATTCTTACTGTAAAAGGCTACAGGAAAAATTAAGCAAATAAATCTATAATTTATGTCATGCACACCAGTATTTTATCAAAGAGGAAGAGAGTATATCATTAATATCATCATTTTATTTTTTACTTATTTTGTTGGTGAATCATAATTATATAAAACAGTGGAACTTGTCCTTACATATTTGTACATGCACACAATATAACAATGTAATTTGGTCACTTTCATTGCCCAATAATTCTCATTTCCCTTTGCTCCTCTCTCCCCATGGGCCCCTTCCTTGCCCTTCTATTTTCATGAGATCCCTTCGCAACATCAACATTTTAAATATTCAGGAATTAAAAGGACTAGGTAATTGTCTGCAATTACTAAATACAAAATAAGTAGAAAACGATGTTATAGCAATGGGCCCTTTACCTGAGATTTGGGGTCAAAAAATCTGCTTTCATTACTTGTGTTAAGTGTCAGAGTTCAATGATTCCCTTTCTTGATAGAAAAAAAAATTAAAAAGTCAGCTGCTTCCATCTAGCAACTTACAAGATACACAGATATTTTGTATCTACAAATACACAGAATATTTCTTGTTGGGGACCGCAAATCAAGTCAAGATGGCACCTGGCAGTTTGCCAGGAGGAGTGGTTTGTGAGGCAACGCCACGGAGCCATTAAGATGATGGGGATTCCTTATTGGCTGATTGCTGTATCTGGATGATGCTAATTGAGTGAAGCTGTGTGTAATCAGTTAGGTATACGTACCTCTGCTGTTCTGCAATAAAGCGGCTCCTGCTACCTTGGGTGCCCGCTATCTTGAGTTCCCGCTCAGTTCCCGCTGAGTTTCCGCTGAGTTTCCCCACAATAAAGCAGTTCCCGCTTCAACCTTCAAGTTGCTTGTCACCTCCCAGTTATTTTGCCCAGCCGGAGTGCGGCAATTTCTAGTATACCCATAATCATCCCGTTTAGTGCATCATTCCCAGAACTATGTGGGTTCACAATTCCTATCAAGTTAAAACTTAGGTCTTTCAGAATGGTAATAAAAGAAAACTCAACCTGTCAAAAAACTTTTTTTTCTTACTTGTATGTCAGCTTCTCTTTTCTGAAGACAGCTTTAATTATCTGATGACTACAGTTTCCAGAATTACTCTAAATAGTTTTCTGAAATAGTGCTATGAGGGTGCAAATAGTAGGCGCTGAGAAAAGTTGTATTCTAAAAAAAAAATCGACATATTTGGTGACCTTTAGGCATATACTACTTGCAATGAATAAATTTCCAAATTTATAAAGATCCTCCCATTTAACATTTCATCTCATAACTCAAACAAAATACATTTATGTTTAAAATGTTGTGCCCCTCAACAAATGAATGGATAAAGAAAATGTGAAATATATACACAATGGAGTATTACTCAGCCATAAAGAATGACTTATGGCATTTGCTGGTAAATAAGTAGAACTGGAAACTATCATGCTCAGTGAAATAAGCCAGTCCCAAAAGTCAAAGGTCAAATGTTTTCTCTGATATGCAGAAGCTAATCCAAAATAAGAAATAAGTCAGGTGGATGGATTAAAAAAAAAAGAACTGAAGAAAGATCAATGGAATAGACAAAGAGGAAGGAAGGAAGGAAGGAAGGAAGGAAGGAAGGAAGGAAGGAAGGAAGGTGGAATGGGATAGGGAAAGTCAGTGGAATTAATCTGACCTAACTTTCTTATGCACATATATGAATATACCACAGTGAATCTCACCATCATGTACATCCACAAGACACTAATTAAGAGAAAACTATAAGTAAATGGCAAAAATATCAGTAGAGAATAGAGAAGGATATAGGGGGTGGGAGGAAGGGAGGGAAAGGAGAATATTAGGGACTGAATTAGAACAAATTTTATTCCATGATTTTATAATTATTTCTATTATCATTTAAAACTAAAAAGAACCAACAAAAAAAGAAATTTAACAAAATACTATGTACAAAAGAAATGCATGAAAATGTGAAGATAGATAAGAGTTTTAATTAAGCCAGCTCTCCTATTCTTGAATTCACCAAGACACGAAACTATCCCCTCTGGGCTAGCCCATGCGCTAAAAATCAAGGTCATAAATGTGTCTTCCTTTAGAATGAAACAAATTTACTTTTGCCAAGTTCAAGTTTCTCTGTAATGACCAAGAAGAAGGCATAACTAAGCTCAACCAGGGAAACCAAAGAGTTCTTTTCCTAGGCTGCTGGGGACCTGTTAGAAGTAACAATCTCTCATTGCCTCGAATGCCAACAAGGTAGTGACACAACTGATGAGGAGATGCGATGCTGAGCTTGACATCACCTAGAAGCAGAGGCAGGGTGGTGGAAACCTAAAGTGGAAACCAAAGTCTAGTTTGGCTTAATGTGACTCAGGAAGTATTAGAGGGATACTAAAAACAGTGGCGCCCAATACTGCTTGATTTCCCACACGTAAAAATACCAACAGAGATAACATATGTTAAAGTACTTGTTCACGGCTTCAAAAGAAAAAACAGCTAAAAAATCTTTATTTCTGTAACACCTCTTTCTCTGATGAGTTCAGAACAATTAACGCCCACACCTAATTAGTCCTCACAGTTTGAGGTTTCTCATAATTGAGATTTTTCCAGGGATGCTATTCATGATTCATATAAGAGATTCTAAAGGCACTCTTTTTTATCTAATCAGGTCGCTTCAGCCCACAGTCTGGTGGGGGAATATGGTCTGCCTAGAGATGTCATATGTGTTCTCAGAGAGAGCACAACCCCAGGAGTTTGATGGGAAACCTTCTGAGCCAAGGTCCTCATCTGACAGTAGCCACTGGGGTTCTGTAGTGAGAGGCATTCATAGACAGAGGTCCACCTTACTGGGGAACACTGGAATCAGTTATAATGTCTTGAACAGACAGAGAACCATCACAAATTTTATGGCAAACTTAGCCTGAGAGGGTCTCCTAGAGAAGGCTGTGCCAGCTCTGGCAATCTCTCCATGTTGCCAGCCTTCAGAGCAGATCAGACCACCTCACATTACTCCCCGAACCTGACACAGAGAAGCTGGGCCAAGACGGACATTGGTGCACAGAAGAGAGGCAGGAGATGACAGGTGTCCAGCCTACAGTGCCGGTAGGGTTGTTAGTCTCTTTCAGCTATCTCATTTCTTCTTGGGTGGTTAGAAGCCTTTTAGTACAACTGTTAAGCCATGAAGATTGATCTTTACTAGTAAGAGAAGGGCCTGCAAGCACGATGGGTACTCCCATTGCAGTGTAGGGCCCAGGGAAGTTGCTGACTCCTAGAGCCCATTGCTCACTCAGGATATGACCAATGTACAGTTAGTTGTCTTTTGGTATCCTTAGCATATTGGTTCCAGGACCCTCCACAAACACCAAAATCCACAAGTTATCAGGTTTCTCCTACAAAATAGTATGATATTTGCATGTCACCTACATACATCCTTCTGCATACTTTAAACTGTCTCTAGATTACTTATAATATCTAACACAAAGTTAACAGTTGTTTTACTAGATTGTTTAGGGAATGATGACAAGGAAAAAGTTCATATATGTTCAGTTAAAATGTGATTTTTTTTCTTTGAATATTTTTAATCTGTGGTGGATATGAAACCTGTGGACATGGACATGACAGTATTAGTTTCAAATGCCTGTTGTGACAAACTTTGTGGCTTATAGCAATATCTGTTTATTCTCTTCTACTTTGGGTTCTAGAGGCTGGGAATCCAAAATCAATTTCACTGAGCTGAAATTAAGGAGCTAGGGGGACGGGCACACTCCCTCCAGAGGCTCTAGAAAAGAATTTATGCCTTTTGCTTTTTCCAGCTTCTAGAGCTACAATCATTGCATTCCTTGGCTTATGCTCCTTCATCTATCTTCAAAAACAACAGACTAGCATCTTCAGTCTTCACATTATCTCCTTTTATAGTCAAATCTCTCTTTACCTTTTGTTCTTTTCAACAGAGAATTGAACCCAGAGGTGCTTAGCCACTGAGATACATCCCAGCCCTTTTGTTTTTTAATTTTAGGATTGGGCCCTCACTAAGTCGCTAAGGTTGGCCTTGCACTTATAATACTCCTGCTCAAACTCCCAAGTCACTGGGATCACAGGAATGCACCATCATGCCAAGCAATTGCCTTCTTCTTGTAAGAATAATTACAATTACATTTAGAGCCCACCTGGATAATCCAAGTTAATATTCCCCATCTCAAGATCCTTAACAATCACATCTGGACAATCTCTTGCCCTATTCAGTTAATACACAGGTTCCAGGAGTTGGGATCTAGATATCTTTCGGAGCCATTATTCGGTCCCCAGCCTTTACTACACTAGCAAAATGAAAGTAGGAGTGTGGGGACAGGAAAGGAAAGAAGAAAGGGCAACAGGATAGGAAGATAGTCAGACTAAGACTGAGTCCATATGGCTGTACAAAGCAAAGAATGCCATGTATCTGACTCTATGCTACTGATTCTTCTCACCCACATGATTTTTCTAGACAGAATGATGCTTATTGATGAGGCTTAAATCCATTTTCTTGTCTAAATTGCATGTATCATTTTTCCTAATTATAATATCAATACTGTTCATAGAAGAAAATTTGGGAACTATACCTACCATACTGCTACTGTTTATGATTTGATATTGCTGGGTGCGGTGGCACATGCCTATAATCCCAGTGGCTCAGGAAACTGGGGCAAGAGGATCACAAGTTTAAAACCAGCCTCAGCAACTTAGTGAGACACTAAGTAACTAAGTAAGACCCTGTCTCTAAATAAATTTTTTTAAAAAAAATGTCTGGGGATGTGGCTCAGTAGTTAAGTTCCCCTGGGTTCAATCCCTGGCACCAAATAATAATAATAATAATAATTTGATCTATTCACAAACTCCCTGAGCCCATCTTTCTTGAATCAAGTCTTTTGAACATTTTGAGTTTAGCCCTGTCAAAAAGCCTTACTCAAAAGGTCAAACAGTCTTCACATTTGTATTGTATTGATGAAAAGACCAAGATATGAAAAAGTTTCATCCAGCATCATTCATTAGAACCAAGAGTTAACAACCTCTCTCTTCTCATTGTTGTCTTCTAGTCATCATAAAAGACTTCTTGGTATTCCATATCCAATTAAACACTTCCAAATTCCTATTCAAGATTATAGTGATCCATCTGTTACCCATATTGATGGCACATCAATGTTCTGACCATTTTTTCCCAAGTCATAAATCAACACCTGCCTTTTCTGAGTCAGAAGCTATATTGCTATTATAAATCACAATGGAATACAAAAGTGACCAATTATTTAGCCTGTCAAGTCTCTGGAGAAGAGTAGGATAAGAATAAGTCTAATTCTATTATTTTGTTGTTGTTGAGCATACTCTTAATAGTTTAGAAAAAAGCTAGCAGATAATTTCTCTCAACTGTTGGTCAATTTGAATCTCACCTACAAATAAGAAAAATCAGCTTTAGTGATTAGGCAATGAATCAATAACCACAGTACTGCTACCCTTCAAGGTGGATTCCCTTCTTTACTAAGCATTATTTAAAAAAAAAAAAAAAAGACAAAGGACTTGGAGAGTATTTAGCTTGAAACTGAAGCCAATCATTTGATCTGAAGAGATCAATACATTCTCCCTTCATCCCACATTAACTCTTTATTCTTCTTATAGAAAAAAACTAAAGATCTCAAAAGTGCAGAGGGCCCAGATACAACACACAGAGTGCAGTACCTTCAAGATCTTCAGCACTGCTGGGTAAACACCAAACAAGCTCTTACCTGGTGACTCTTCACTTTCCAGCCTGTCCTTCCCATATTCTTGTCCACAGTCTTTCTTCAGATAGATTTCAGTACAGTTGAACCCTCTTTATCACTGTCTCAATTCCACCCTATTTCTTTGAGTATATATTTGATTCCATTGTTAGGGATTGGATATTCCAAACTGGAGTAAGGGATGGGCTCCCAAGCAACAGCCATCTGTAATGAGCATGTAAAACATTCTGGACTCAATCAGACATATAATGCATGAACTCAGATTTCCAGAATCAATCCCTTCTGTAATTGGTGAAATGTAATTTGGCAGCATTTTCTCTGAAGTAGAAGTAGTCTTGAGTGAAGGCAGAAAAAATACTTTCTGCTAGCATCAACCCATTTCCCTTGAGTATTTTTGTGTCACAAAAAAAGTCTAAATGGCCCAAGAGTCTGTAGCACCAGCCAATGCAGAGACCAGTTATCTAACAGAAGTCAGAAACTTAACCAAACTTTAAAACAAAATAATGTGCAGCATAATGCACTTATTGGGAAGAAGAAAGAAATCTTAAATTCTATAATGCACCTCCAAATAGCTTGCTTGATTTACTTTCAAAGGTAACAGAAGAAAGGACAAGATGCATAAACAGGTGGGAAAAAATAGCTTCTACCATGAATAAGATTCACCAGATGCTTTAATGTTAGCTCTATCAATAAAATCATAAGCCTCAGTTTAAAAACTGAGAAACAAAAGAAAATTTCACAGAAGTAAAAAATTTTCTGAACAATCCTTGTTAGTTTATAACATTAAGAAGTATAACATTATTATTACCCCTACAAAAATATTTAAGAACTATTAAATAGTATTGCCTTGAAGAGGGCTTTGAAGCCTTAGTTTGCCTAGGGCCCCACATGTCTCAGTTAGCTGTCTCTGGATCTTTTCTCTGTGACATGCTTACACATTTTCTCAGTTTTCATTTATAAATGGCTAATCTGACAAATACAATCTCGGCTATTAAATCATCAGGGTTGGTTGAGGTTGTGGCTCAGCAGCAGAGTGCTTGCCTGGCACATGCAAGGCACTAGGTTCTATCCTCAGCACGACACAAAATAAGTAAAACAAAGGTATTGTGTCCAACTACAGCCAAAAATTTTTAAAAAATAAATACATAAATAAATAAATCATTGGGGTCAGATCATAGCTTTGCCACTTTCAACTTGAAGGACCTTGGTTAAATTTCCTAGCCTCTGTATTCTTCAGTATCCTCCTCAGTAGAAGCTGATAATCGCAATATTACCTTGTGTAGTTATTGTGATAACTAAATGCTCTAAAACATGCAAAGTGCTTTAAAGAATTCCTGGGAACTGGTAATCACCCAATGAATTATAACATGGATGATCACAATAACTTTCATGATGTATGGATTTAGCTCAATTTTATATTATTTTATATTTCACCATTTGTTGATATTGCTTTAAAATAGTTTTAATGACAGAAGGCATCACAATCCAGACTTTAAATTATACTACAGAGCCATAATAACAAAAACAGCATGGTATTGACATCAAAACAGACATGTAGACCAATAGTACAGAATAGAAGACACAGAGACTAACCCACATAAATATGATTATCTCATAATAGACACAAGCACCAAAAATATACATGGGAGAAAAGATAGCCTTTTTGACAAAAAGTGTTGGGAAAACTGGAAATCCATATGTAACAAAATGAAATTAAACCTCTATCTCTCACCCTGCACAAAACTCAACTCAAAATGGATCAAGGACCTAGGAATTAGACCAGAGACCCTAAGCCTAACAGAACAAAAAGTAGGACCAAATCTTCATCATGTCGGCTTAGGATCTGATTTCCTTAACAAGACCTCTAAAGCACAATAAATAAAATCAAGAATCAATAAATGGGATGGATTTAAACTAAAATACTTCTTCCCAGCAAAGGTAACAATAAGTAATGCGGGGGCGGGGGATGTGGCTCAAGTGATAGCGTGCTCGCCTGGCATGTGCAGGGCGCTGGGTTCGATCCTCAGCACAACACAAAAATAAAAAAATAAAGATATTGTATCCACCTAAAACTAAAAAATAAATATTAAAAAAATTCTCTCTCTCTCTTTAAAAAAAAATAAGTAATGAGAAAATAGAGCTTACAGATTGGGAGAAAATCTTTACCACAGGGACATCAGAGACAACACTAATCTCTAGGATACATAAAGAACTCAAAAAACTTAACACCAAAAAAACAAATAACCCAATTAATAAATGGGCTAAGGAACTGAACAGACATTTCATGGAAGAAGATATACAATTGATCAACAAATATATGAAAAAAATGTTCAATATCTCTAGCAATTGGAGAAATGCAAATCAAAACTACTCTGATTTCATCTCACTCCAGTCAGGATGGCAATTATCAAGAATACCAGCAACAATAAGTGTTGGTGAGGATGAGGGGAACAGGTACACTCATACATTGCTGGTGGGACTGAAAATTGGTGAAACCACTCTGGAAAGCAGTATGGAGATTCCTCAGAAAACTTGGAATGGAACCACCTTTAACCAAGCTATCCCACTTCTCAGTTTATATCCATAGGACTTACAATCAGCATACTACAGTGACACGGCCACATCAATATTTATAGCAGCTCAATTCACAATAGCTAAACTATGGGACCAACCTAAGTGCCCTTCAACAGATGAATGGATAAAGAAACTGGTATGTATACACAATGATATATTATCCACTTTAAAGAAGAATGAAATTATGGCATTTTCAGGTAAATGGGTGGAACTGGAGAAAATCATGCTAAACAAAATAAGCCAATCCCAAGGAACCAAAGGCTGAATATTTTCTCTGATATGTGGATGTTTAATTCACAATAAGGGGGGAGATATGGAAGAATATAGGTACTTTGGATTGGACAGAGGGGAATGAAGGGAGGGGAGGAGGTATGGGAGTAGGAATGATAGTAGAATGAATTAGACATTATTACCTTATGTGCATGTATGATTACATGGCCTGTGTAACTCTACATGATGTACAACTGGATGAATGAGAAGATATACTCCATTTATGTATGATGTGTCAAAATGCATTCTACCATCATGTATAACTAATTAGAACAAATAAAAAAATAAAAATAAAAAATAAATAAAATAACTTTAATGAAATGTAACTGAAATATGACAAACTACAAATACTTAAAGTATACATTTTGTTTTATACAATTGTTTTAGTTTGTCAAAGGTCTTTGGATCTGAGACAGCAGGGTATATGGGTTGGGAACCAAAGGATGTATGGGCCTAACGGAGGTGTTGATGAGTCGTAGGTCCTGAACTAAGCGATAGGACCCGTTGGGCTTTTTTACCCCAAGTATGGGAGTATTGTAAGGGGAATGAACAGGACGGAGGTACCCCTTGCTAAGAAGGTCCTGAATAATAGGTTGTAGACCCAGAAGAGCTTTTTGGACAGGGGTATTGAGCCTGATTGGAGAAGGTGTTGGGATCTTTGAGATGAATGTTAACTGGTGGGCAGGAAATAATGGAGGGGGTGTGGGTATCCCATACAATCGGGTCAACCAGGTTTGTAAGTAAGGGGTTGTGATCCTTTTTAGTATGGTGTTTCATGTCAGCCTCATAAGTGGAGCAGAATGACCATCTTCTGCCAAAAGGGACAGAAAGGATGAACAGGCCTATTCTGGGGCCTGACTGATGCCAGGAGCCGGATGTTGATTGTTGTATTGAATTTAGAGAGAATATCTCAGCCGAGCAAAGGAACTGGACATTGGGGCATAACTAGGAACGTCTGAGAGAATGGGAAGTTGTCTATGGAACAGAGTAATAGGGCAGTCTTTCTTGGATAGATGGTCTTTCCTCCTACCCCAACAATAGGAGAGGTGGACAGCACTGTTTGCCCCCAGAATTCTGTTAGGACTGAGAAGGTAGCCCCGGTGTCAAGGAGAAAGTCAACCTTGCATCCATCCACCTGAATCCGCACCCTGGGTTCCTGTCTATTGATTGTTACTGCTGGTGACAAGGACCCAAGGCTTCGTCAATCGATTGCCATGCCCAGAAGATCGGAGGGTTCCCTGGCCATAGGCCTCCTACAGGATCTAGGACAGTCAGAGCCCCAATGACTTGTTGTTGATATTTAGGGCATGGGGTACACGGAGTGCGTGGTGCGGGGCATGCCCTGGCCCAATGTCCCCCCTTGTCACACTTGAAGCAGGCGCGGAGTGGGGGGGTTGACCTGCGGTGATGGGCGGCAACCTGAGGAAGCACCCTGCAGGGCCTGGGCGAGCATCTGAAATTTATTGTGTTCGGCCTTGTGCTTGCGGCGCTCGATTTCCTCCAGGTTGTGAAAAACCTTAAAGGCTACCGCCAAGATCTCAGTCTGGGGGGTGGCAGGGCCTTGTTCAAGCTTTTTTAGTTTGGCCCCAATGTCGGGGTAGCTCTGCAAGAGGAAATATGTCATAAGGACATGACAGCCATCTGGAGTTTCGGGATCTAGGTTAAGCCGATCCAGAAATTCCCATGGGGTCTCCTCTCGCTTTTGAATCTCTTGTGATTTTTGGAAACTGATGGCCGTTTTTTGAGCCCAGCAATAATACATGCGGAGAATTGGTCCCTACTCTGTATGCCAGCTTATGTATAATCCCAGTCAGGAGTTTGATCTGGGGCAACAAGTGGCCCTGGAGGGTGATTGGGATTAACTCGGGGAGTTTCATCTGCATGGGCTCTGGCAAGTTCCCAGACTCTGGTACGTTCCTCAGGAAGGAGAGTATTAGCCAATAACATATATATATCATGGTGAATGAGGCTATAAGCCTGGAGGATCCATTGAAACTCTCTTATGTAAGTGGTGGGATGAGCCCAACATTCACTCCAGTTGCATAGAGAACAGGACATGTACCCAGATAATGCCCTCAGGTCCAGCAACCTCTATTAAGGGGGTCATGGTTTGTGGGACTAGGGAGCAGGGACCTAGTTTGGGGGGGGACTAAAGGTGTCGGCCAAGTCAGGGGGAGCACCTGAGGGGCTGGACGGAACCGATGGGGGAGATCGGTAAGGAGGGGGTTCATCTGCCGGATAGGTCGGGGTGAGAACGAAGAAGAGAAAAAGCCTCAACATAGGGGAACTCCTTCCACTTTTTCAAGTGCTCACAGAAGTTAAACAGATCTCTGAGAATTGCGACCGGGTTCCAGAG